ATTAATAAATAAATTTAAAGGTATATAATTATAATTAACTATATAGCCAAAATTAGCTAAGTTAATCAGAATTTAGTCCTTTATCTATACCGGAATAATAAATAAATGAATCAAGAGTATACTATACTCTTATCATTACATTCTTATTATATTTAATAATTTTAACGAATTTTTATTAAATGCTCTTATATTTTATTCTATTCGTTTAATAAGTCTTTCTTTATTTGCTATTTACTCCTCTATATTTTATTAATATTCAATATTCGTACTTATTTTACTATATTACCTCTTCTATTAATACCTCTCTCAAATATAACTTATAGCTACTATTTATTCTTAATTCTTACGTTAAGCCTTAATTACTCTATTGGTCGTAGGCTTAGTTTGTAGATAAATTAGGACTTATAACTCTATAAATATATTTTTCGGCTAAGCTTTATTTATTTTGTTAATTATAGGCTTTGTTATAATAAATTAGGTAAAAACGAACAGCATTATTAATATAATATTATCAATATATTATTTTTAATAAAAAAAGAAAGTAATTGGGTAGATAACCCAACGTAATTAACAATAAGTACGCGATAATTATGTGCGAAGTATAGTATTTTTAACCTATATATTATATGAGATTCTATTAATTAACCGAGGTTTCGATTACTTTAACCGTAGCGCGGCCGCTACTATCAGTATAGCCTATAGAGAATACTAATAAGAATGCTAGATATAGTAAAGAATCCGGATAGTTACTATAAAAGAAGAAGCGTAATACGGAAGAAGTAATAGAATAAAATAAAGCGGTAATATAATTAATAATAGAATATTAAGAATTCTCTCTATTTATATTTCCTAGAATACATACCTTTTTATAAGCCCGATTCGTAATACCCTATTTTATAATTCATATTAATTCGTCGAATATAAATAGAAATATTTACTTCTAATATTAAATAATTAAACTCTCTCTTTCGTACCTACACGTTAGAACCCTATATTATTTAATATTATATTCTATATTAAACGCATCTAATTAATTCGCGAGAACTACTTATTTATTCCTATCTAACTATTTAAATAGTAACCTATTATAAGTCTTTTTACATTCGCTATTTTAGAAGCTTCGACCCCTAAAGTTTAAGCGGCTATCTTTACTATTCTACTCCCTAACTAGAAAAACCTTGCCAAAATCATTTATTAATCGGAATATCTATAATTATATTTCAAATTAGGTGTTTTTAACTTATTATCGTCCGATTATTAGTAATACGAAAAAAAGTCTAACCCCCTAGCACTATATTTCTAATTATAATTTAAGGAATACCGAATAAATTAAATTGCCGGATATATACCTATTGCTTTTACCGACTAATCGACAGCCGCTTAAGTATTATATTTAAATCTACGTTAACTTTACCGTACTATATAATTTGAAATCGATATTAACTATAATTTTAAATAGCGTAAAAATATAAAAGAATTCGATAAGTTATTAAAACTATAATCGTCGTAATTATATTATCGTTTAACTAGTCCAAAAACCTTTTTCCTATATAATTACCGTCAATTAGGGAATTGGTTATTACATAAAAGTCTATTGGACCTAATAAAGAAAGTAACGGACGTAGTAGGCGAAAATACGTAAGACCTTTTACAATTAGAATTAAGTTCAGAATTTATCTAATAAAAGATAAATAATTTAGTAACGAGGTTCGAACAATTATCGGTATCTAATTATAATACTAAATAAATACCTTTTTAATTAAATTATATTCGACTTTACCTATAGAATTCCGTACAACGTAATTACTCGTTTCTATTTAGCCTTAAAATTAAAACTAAAAAGAAAAAGACGAATTTATTAGCGCCTTATCCTACTTTTATAAATAATAGTTAAATCCTATCCTCGTTATATCATAATTTAACTGATCTATTAATAAATTCGCTCGATATTCGAATTTAATACGAAACTTTATCTATATTTATTCGTATACTATAAAATAACGGTCGGATTTTATATTCCTACCCGTCGGTTAATTTTCATATGTTAGTAATAAGTACCTTATATTAAGCATTTTTCTTATCTCGTACATATAAATAAAGGTTAAATATTCAATATTTCTACGTAGGGAATTATATTAAATTTAAAATCTACGTATTAAAACTTTCTCTATAAATGAATATTTACTAGTAAGCGCTTTACTATTTACTATTTTAATATATAGTATTTTGATATATTTAAATTTATAATATACTTTACGATCTTCTTTTTAAATAAAAAAAAATAATATATAAGAAACATAACCCGTATAAACACTAATTAAATTATAATATTAAATTTTATAATACAATTGCTAACTAGGTCCATATAAAGTCTAGATAGTATTATTTCAAGAAATTAAAGCCGGTGCAAATAATTGAGCGAATAAAACTAAATTTATCCTAATCTTATCCGAGATTAATTTATACTATAAATTTCATCCGATATTTTACCCCTCTTAGTAAATATATATAATACAATATAAATAATATAATTATATATTCGTAGTTATTAATTTAACGAGAGGAATAATTATTATATTAATTAGAATCTTTTCTTTTCAAATTTCTTTTCTTTAATTCCTCTTCAACTATTTAAATATTTATTAATTTACTCCTATCTACCTCCCGGCGCTCCTCCGATATCTATTAAAATTAATTAAAAGTTTATTGACGATTTATCTTTTATGATAGCGCTTATTTACTTCAAATCTATAACTTATAATATATATAAAGAATATTTGGATAGCGATTAGAAACCTACTAAACCCGAAGATAAAAGTAAATATTAGGCCGTAATACCCCCTTTAATATAATTTCGATATAAATAATATTTGAAAATTATCGATATTAAATTAGTAACTAATCTTTAATCTATTTAAATTATATTCATTACTTATAGCAATTTTATTAAACATTTAAAAGGTATCTACAATATCCTTAAGGAACGTTTGCCTAACGTTTTAGTTGGAAGTATTAAAGGTAAAGTTTATATAATTACTATTAATATATTACCTATCCTTAACTAATTTTTAAATAATTGGAAATTAACTATAAATAAATATAAAACAGTATAAAGATTTTATAGCTTTTATAATTTCCGGTTAGGTTATAACCGTCTTTATTCCTAGTAGGATTTTGTAACCAGTTATTCCTAAGAAACGTAAAGTAGCAGTTATTAATAAAGAATTGGACTTATCGGACTTACTATTAATTGAGGAGGAGGAGTAGTAGGAGGTATAGGAGGAGGAGTAGGAGGGGGAGTAGGAGGAGGAGTAGGAGGAAGTATTGGAGGAGGAGTAGTAGGAAGTATAGGAGGAGGAGTAGTAAGAGGTGTAGGAGAAAGGGAATGAGGAAGAGGCGGATACAGAGGAAGATAGTTTTATAGAAGTCCCCTTCTAGAAGAACGGTAATATAAGTATTTTAGATCTATCTTTAATAAATCGTTATTTGATCCCTAATATATTTTTTAATTATTTTTAGCTAACTTAATTAATATTTCAATTAACACCCAATTAATAAAGAAAATATATAAAAAAAAATACAATAATATTACTTCCTTCACTAAATTTATTTACGCGGCATACAAAGAGTTTAAATATATTTATAAATTTCACTTTAAACATATCTTTAATAAATCCTTTATTAATTATCGATTTATTATAAATCCTCCTTCCTACTATTCTAAACAGGGTGGTAAAGGCCGGGGTTGCGCCATTTGGTACGAATTCCGCCGCTATCTAGATAAATTTACAGAATTTATTCCTTTTTTATTTACAATTTAAAATATATTCTAAATATATTATAAATATATTATCAGACTTTATATTTCTCTATAGGGGAATTTTAAGCGAGCTAGTAAGGTTGTTTCTCTACGGGGGGACTTTTGTATATACAACCCGAATAAGCCTACAAAGCCTAACTTCCTCGTCTATGGTTTAAAATATATTTTAAATACATTATAAATATATTATCAAATTTCATATATATTACAATAATTATATCAGTCTTTTTCTTTTGTGAGTCGGACCAATTTTATATATGAATACACGGACCATGGGGTCAGGAAGCTTTGGGTATAGGGTCGTATCATCTGAACACTCAGAATACAGGGTTCAATGAAGGCACGTTGTTATCATGGGATAGCCTCAAGGGTTGTCACCGGCGCAGCATACCGCTGATCGCTCGAATGCTCGCTGCAATCCATTGTGAACATGTGAACATGATGTTTACAACCACCTTTATGTGGCATGTTGCCGTCCCAACGACCGGAGATAAACTGAGCGATTGGATGGCTGAAGATGACAACCAAGAGAAAGTGACCAACAAAGATTCGACGATCATCAGGTTCTTTTAACATCAACCGCGATCGGAAAAGCTGACAGTGAAACGGCAATATGGAAAGTGTCAGTGTTGGTCTGTTGAGGTCCGGGCCAGTCAGCGACGATGTCTGATTGGTTATCGGAGGTGTCTCCTACCAGCCAGATGGATAGCCTGAGGCGTGCCTATCGTATGATCCTAAGGTACCTAGCGAGGGTCTGTGAGGCACTGTCAGTGACTTCACCCAACCATTCAGCACCCAACTTGCGGAAGTTGCGCCTGGCCAGTGCCTCCCCCTGGCAACCACAGCAAATCGGAATCAGCGTGGGAGCGCCAAGGTTGCTGGGGACCACTGGATCGGACTGCATCAGAGAAAGCAAACAGGGAACAAAAAAACAACCACTGCCACAGTCTGTTACAGCATGATCCCAACTCAGGACCGCTAGCGAGCACATATAGAACATGGTCTCCCCGGCGAACCCGTCATGAAAATATATCCTTTTTACGATCTGATGATGGAGGATTCGAGAGTCGGTCGACGGTTGCGCGTCAGTGGTATCATGCTCTCCTATTTCAGCATGGCGGCAGCACGGCTTCAACGCGGCTTCAACAGGCTACGAGAGGGGCTAGAGGAATATCATCTAGATCTCAGACACTGATGCGCTGAAGAACCAAAGGGGTACCGACTTCGTCCACATATCGGAAAATTTACACTACACTGCGGGTTCAGGTCCCGTGCCCATCTCGCAAATCTCAACTTGTGGAAGATCAAGGCGGAACAATGCGTTATTACGGCAGAAAGGGACAACCTTGTTGGAGGGGACATGGTGATGGGAAAGATACCTCAGAGCCGACTTACAAATTGCACCACTTGCAACACCACCAAAGGCGCACCAACCACCACCACCACCGGCGACACCTCCGACAGACCAAGGGGAAGGGGCACACCGGCACCAGACTCGACCACATGGGACGGGAACACAACTCGTTTTCGTTTTCACTCAAAAACATTCATCCCTCAACACAGTACAAGTACGTGGATCTTTCTGACGTCAGATACGGTGTTGCTCTGCCCGGTTGCATGGGATATCCAAATTCGCTGGTCATATATCCATTTGTCCCCAATTCCCGTCTTTGCTTTGCCAAACAAAAAGAACACCAGTCCCACCACGAAAGTCACCACCAATCCGTCTCCCCTCCTCACCACGATGCACCACCACCAACACCACCACCACCACCACTACTGCCACTACCATTACCACTACACTAGCACTACTGTTACCGCCGGCGCCACCACTCACCTTCACTACAATTCACCGCCGCCAAAGCCAAAGGCGCAACAAAACAGAGCCCTTCATCACATTGAAAACACAGCAAACACAATTTCTCAGGGCGCATCGAAAACACAGCAAAACAATCGGAACTTCTCGGTCCAGTCGGAAACATACTAAACAATTGTGCAGATCAGAGCAAAAGATATCATACATGATTCCAGACGCCAGACTCCAGATCCCTGAGGATTCAAAAAAAAAACAGCACACCACGCCAACGGACGCAAAAGAATGATGCAACAAAAGCCAAGGGAAAAAAAATGGCAGCAACATCTGAGGCTCGATCTCGATATCGGCACTCCGAGGTCATGTGCCAAGAGGAAATGACCGACTAGACATCCCGGCATTTCAGTTTGAAAATGGCAGCGAAGCGGACGACTCCCGTCTCTTCGTCTCCAGCTCTTGTATCAACTTGGCATTCGCATCTTGGAGCTCGTGGATGTGACGACATGCCCTCTCTAGGACCTCGGCTTTGCTCCAATTCCTCGATTTCCGCCCCGATGCGGACGAAGGCGACTGCGGCTCATCATCGTTCTCGGGCTCGGCTTTAGGCTCCATGCCAGGGTTGTCAGGAAGCACTTTGAGGAGATTATCAAAGTATTCGTGCAATCGCTTGCGGTATTGCTTTTCAACCTGGTTGTGGTTTACTCTGGCGCGACGCTCTTCTGCAGACTCTCCCGGCTTTTGTGCTGACTTGGGGCGCACCACCTTGCGGGCAGCGGTCCGCAAAGCACGGCTGGATGCAGGTACAGGAGTTGTGTTGTCTTGACCACACACTTTGCGGGCGGATTCAGGAGTCTTCTTCCTGCCACGCTTCTTGGGTTCTGTCTTTTCAGGCTGCGGCTGGTCGAGCGCGGGAGTTTGCAAACGACTGTCAACACCGGATGCCGCGACTTCGACACTCTGCTGTGAATAGCTGGGAGAAGAAACAAAGGTGTTCGCATTTACGGCTCCGGCAACATCCTCCAACAACGGCGGAGTTGCCAGATTGGGCAAACCGGGTCGTGTCGTGATTGTTTCCGCTGTGCTGCCGTTGTCAAACGATGACCTCATCGGCCACGCGCTCTGCTCCACACTAAACGCCACACCAGGACTCGCCATGATGTCGGGGTTGCGCCAATCGAAGCCTGTGACAGAGTTCATAGCATCTGGTGTGAGAGAAAAACTCCTGTTGCTGGCAGCGCTACTGAATGTACCCATGGGGCTGGGGACGTAGCCACTCATTGTCTCTCCTCCGACCGGAGTTGCTGGGTCGGCGGACGCCCACGGCGAGCCGGTCTGGATGAGATTGTCGAGAGGGATTTGGAACGGGGAAGCTGCGGTTGCGTCGACGCGTCTTGAGCCTACGCTGTGCGACACGGAGGGTGCGCGGCCTTGATAGCTTTGGGCGAATATGTGGGAAGAAAAATCACCGTTTCCGAGGTACATTTTCGTGTTCGTCATCATCGCCACATCGGCATTCTGCCACGGGGCAACTCCAAAGTGCGACGGCATCGATTGAGGTTCGACATTTGAAGATGGCAATTGCTCTGGTTGGAACATCGGATACGGATACTGGATCTTGTACGCCATCTGTCAGCACACGATCCAAAAGAAAAGAAAAAAACAAAGCGATGTTTTCGATCATTCGCCGATGGCTTCCGCACATGCTGCACCAAATTCGACAATGATGACAATTCGAGCCGTTTTCTTCGAAAAACACACCACACGACTTGTGCACTGTGTATTCACGACACGAACGATGGCACACACGGAGAACAGCGAGGAGGAAAAAAATTGCCATTTGTCTGGGTTTTCAGCTATCGCCGCGTTCAGGTGTAGCTGGATACTAGCACTGGGCGTAGGCTTGCGGACACGCCGACTGGCCTTTCTGATCTCGCGATTTGGAGCTAAAAAAAAATGGGAAGAGAGAGAATGGGTCACGAACCTGATAGTGAGCCATTTCGGATGGCCTACGGACGGCAGGTTGGTGGTGTGTTTGGTTCAGGAAGTCCATGTTGTGTATCGCTTCACGTCGGTGATGGTGATGGCGATGGGTGTGTGGCTGCTTGGTTCAGACTGGTGGTTTGCTGCTCTGGATTTTAGCAAGGTACGCGGGGCACACGGTTTATGCTGTTCTCGTTGATCTCCAATACTTTCCATGGGTACCTATTCCGAGCCGGGCGACATTTGGCTGCACTTTCAATGGTGCTCCTCAGCGATGCTCGGCATTGGTCAAGCCAAGTGCAGTTTTACGTGAGCGTCGGGGTGCCAAAGCAGCAAGAAAGCCAGCAGCGGACATGGCCTGCCACTGACCACCCAACACACACACCGCAAGCCCCAGCCGGTGCAGTTCAACCCCCCGACCCAATCCCATGTCGATGGATTCTTAGCGTCGGTTCTGCCCACTGAGCGAGCACCCCTCCCTTCGACCACGCCCCAAACCCTGACATGGACGCCCAGCAATTTGGCAACCGACAGGCCCCGAACATTACGAGTTTCGCGCAGTCTGAATCGGTCATGGCACGCATTCAAGAATCAGCAGCATTGGGGAGCTCCCAGGGCAAATCTCGATGGAGGGTGGCATTCCATGAAGATCGCTTCAAGTTGCAATGCAATGGTGAGTAACGATCAATGCAGACCCCCCTTGTTCCCCTTGTTCCCAGGACGGAATGGACGGGCTGACGCTCCGACTCCCCGAAAAGCACCTTACCAGTACCGGGCATACGTACCTCTACAGTACGTACCGCAGCTCCGAAAACCCCACGTCCGCAACGCGCGACCGGACAAAACAACACATATGACGCCGGCATCTTTACCACAGCCTTGCAGTATCTTTTTGCCCCGAACGCTGCACCCATCGGCATGGCCCAAGCTCTTTCTGTCGCCATCGGCCTTTACTCTTTTCTGTCTAGCACGGGTTGATGACCTTGAAGGCAGGACGTTTTTGTCGGGTTAGGAGCTCGCAAGCCCGTTACGGTTCCCTGAAAGGAAATCAGTGAAAATCCGAGGCCCCACCCGACGTGATTGGTGAGGTGGGATCCTGTGGAGAGTTCGCCGACTGAAAGCACCTGGTGCTGCAAGTGTTCCAGGTGTCCCAGTGGTTGCCCAGCGGTGGTCCCCACGATAATTACTGATCGATCACTAATTGTGGGAGCACTTTTGCAGCTGTGGCTTCGCTTTTTCCCTTGCCCAGCAAGGATTGGCCGACGTTTCCAGCCTAGCACGACGCGCTTGTATAGTAGCGTCGCAACGGCCATTCGACACCTGTTCACAGTCAAGCCATCGCGATCCGCCGATTCTTGCCAGTCTGGGAGCCGGTCCGTGCACTGTGCAGATCTGGGAGATGATGCTGCTCGAGATCTCAGGGGATTGTCCCCGGGGGTTGTTCGCCGGTCTTGGAATTGGATGGCATGGCTGCATCGCCGCTGCCTGCCCTCAGGCCTCCAGGGCCCCAGGCTGCACACACACACACCTGTGAGGGACCGCTGGGAACACTGAGACTGCTGGGACTGGTCGGGGGGGATGGGCTGGCTGCGGTGTGAGACATGGGCTCATTAAGTGCGGTGAAGGGGGGAAAGGCTCGCGACTGCATGGGCTCACCTGACGGAACCTGTAAGATGAGGTTTGACAAGTCGCCAATCCCATCCGCCAGTCATTGCCGGTTGTCCAGAGGTTCTAGGCCGGCCCATGAGGTCATTTCACTCCCCCACGCCTTGCCAGAGAGAGACAGGTACGAACACGCTTGCCCACAAAACCGCATGGGTTTTCCCACCTGTGAGCAGCCATTCGAAATTGTTGCGCAGAGACGATCACCTCGCAGCAAGATACAGTACCACTGAGCCACTCTGATCGGCTCCAAGTTTCAGCCGTATGTCAATGATTCAGTCGGTGAACATGGGCAACAATCGATCAAGAGTGAGCTCAATATCCCGGCCCTGGGGATTTGTTTGGGAGAATGATGGGAGAACGCGTTTTCGCTTCTTCAGGCACACTCGAACCTTGATTAGATTCCTGGGTTCTTGGCATGTAGATGCTTGGCCCTGGCCCCTGGCGCGTGCCGGTGTGGTGGTGATGTGGATGGTTGCAAACGAAGTGGAGGCACTCATCAAGCGAATAGGATAGGATGGCGCTTATGATAGCTTCCCCTCTCCATTTGCACCGGGAAATGATGGATTTGCGGTCTTTCATCTTGCCAACAACAACCTTTCTGCCGACCATGTCCTTGTCCAGCGTCCGCTGAGTTGCGCTGGTGAGGGTATTTGACATTCACGACAAAACTTCCTGCCTGGCTGGGTGCCCTCGAGGACCTCACTTTCGCCCGCGCCATCGGAACACGGACAAAATGAGTTTGGGCGATGCGAGGGGGGATGAGGTCTGATAGGAAGGGAGATTGCGGAAGCAGCCAGCGGATATGCAGCTCATGCTGCCGCGAGCATGGTCAAGCTCATTGATGCTGAAACCGCGGTACCATGAGAGCACAGCTATGCCACGGTTGTGTGACCCCCATGGATGAAGGGAAACGGATCCTTTTTCGCCGTTGCCAGCCAAAACGGTTATCACTCTTTGCACGTGCGCCCACAGAGCAGGGCTCAGCATCATGGCCTTGGGGAATGGAGATATCAGGGGTTCGATATCGCCCAAGCGTCCGGGGCGGGAAAGGAAATAAACCGGCCGCGGTTGTGGTGTGGGTTCGGTGGTGGACAAATCGTAAGACCTGGCAAATGATCATCTCCAACGGCCTCATCGGTCTCATACCATTGGGATTGTTGGAAGGGGGAATGCTGAAGGTGAGCCAGATCCGTTCTTGATGAATGGGAAATTTCATGTGAGAACGCGGTCAACAGGGTGAACAGTGCACTGCGCGCACCCCGACGAGATTGACTTGTTGTTTCGCTGTGTCGGGATGGATCGAGCCCTCGGGCTGTCAGGACGGACCGCTCGGCTGCGCTGCCTGCGGCGCACCCAGGGGTCAATCTGATTGTGCTCAAGGTCGAGAGATTGTCTATTTCTAGAGGTGAGGAGAGAGGAACGCATCATCATGGCTGCTTGTTACTTCAAGTGATGTTGCCCTATCAATGGTTCAGCGATCGCGTTTACGACCTCTTCTTGGAGGTACGCATGATGGAGACGAATCGCAATGGCAGATATCTCTTCGGGGGTGCCACGTCGCAGGCTCGCAGCCGTGTCTTGTGGTGGTCTGTGGAATGCCTGCCCTGATGCTGGCCTGCTGTCCCCTCATGCCCCCTATCCGAAGCCGCGAGCCAGAGCAGTAAAATTGGCGGCTCAAACAGAGACAATGCCACCGGATTTACACTGTCCAAAGTCAAAAAGATATCTCCAGTGCCAGGCGGATATCGGATTGGGAATTATACACAATAGTACTTGCCCACAGCGATCTACACTGCCCGTAAGCACTATTGATTTTTTGTTTTGACAAGAAATGATTACTATTTGCTCGGACGCGAGCCAGCGAACGGCAACGAAGAAGGACAATGAGGTAGTTGTCCATCGTTCGTCCCCTCGTGTCGTGGGCCGTGGTAAGTCGTGGGTGGCAGTTCGGTTCGCATGGAAGCGGAAGGGAAGGGAAGGGAACAGTTAAGGAAGAGAAGAAAAGGAAGCCACGAACTGACCCGACGACCACTTCAGCGTGTACAAAACCGAAACGAAACGAAAACACCGCGGTTCCTTTTCGTTGAGAGAATCAACAGCACCAAATGGAAAACGGGAATATCAAGAAAAGCCAAAAGAAAATCGAACGATTGGTCGTCGCCGACGTTTTTCTATCGATTTTTTATCGAGGATCCGGTAGGTTGGCACGCTAGGATATTTGAAATGGTGGGATGATGTCGTCGTCCGTCGTGGTTCGCGAGTCGTTGTCGTTGTTCATCCAGTGACCAGTCAGTTATGGTTCAAGGTGTCTCACTACAGTTGCAGTGATCAAATGGAGTGCGGGAGCGGGAAGGTTGTCCTCCTCCCCGATGCCTGGCCCCTGGTCCTGCTGATGAACCCCCACCCTTGTTTCCACTGCCTTGCGTGGCAGCCGTGGCTCGTGGAGTCAGGTGTGAGTGGGCGTGGAGGTATTTTTGATGCCGGCCGGGACGGTTGTTGTTCATCCCCGGCCAGCTCACAACGCAGCCGTAGCAGGGCAAGGTGAGACAAAAAGAACCCTAACCAAAAATGATCCTTCAAGGCAGGTAAAAATGGTTAGCGTGGTACCGCCACCTTACAATCTTCAGGGGTTTATATGATGGGTGAGAAAACCTCACATCTTCTTGACGAAGATTAAAGTTATCGCCACTTCAGGTTTGCAATTCACCGCGCTAACGTTTTACTACATGCCGGAGGAGGTGTACAGTATTGCCGGCCGGATGAGTACGGTTAGGTACGTTTTCACCTTTGATGCTGCTCTCCACGAGTCCACCTAACTCCGTCCCCGGTCTGCCGGTGTGCTTACGGCTCCAGGTTGTCTCGGTCAGTCAGGTCTCCTTCCGTTGTTGTGCTGGCCCGCTGGGACCTTCAACTTCAGCTTGTCTCAGACCTCAGCTCCACGAATTCCAAACCCCAAAGTCGGACGACCTCGGTCACCGTCATCAGGTGGCATCGCACATGGTGAGGGAATGGTGAATGGCGACTGGAGGCAGGTGCGAGGTGAGACGTCAATTGGCAAGCACCAAACAGCCGAAATGGAGTCTGCCTGAAATCCAGACAAGAATGTCTCAATCGAGATGAATGCCACATGGTGTCGTGTCGACCGCCTTATTCCCGGCATTCCACTTGCGACACTGGACTGGGAAGTGGGGAGTTATGCTTGGTTGCCCCTGGACTGGACGGAGCCGCGGCCGCGGAGGAAGGACCGGATGGCGGGGCCGCTCGGTGCACGATGCCGTCACGGTGGTTCTTGCACTATCGACACCCAAAACCCTCGTGGAAGCAGGTCAACCGGTGCGCTCATTTGACTCTCTTCCAGACTTGCCCAGTTCGCGCCGCCTCGTCACATCAAAAGATAGGACCGTCTTTCTCAGGAATGGCCTGACACAGGCTGAGATCGAGCATGAAGTCGTCTTCATGATCACTGCCGGCTCAGACACCACTGCTACTACAATGCGGACGACCATCCTTAATGTCATCACTCATCCGAACGTGTACCTGGAGCTCAAGAGGGACATCTTCAAGGCCGCACGAGAGGGCAAGGCTTCCAATCCGGTCAAATACGAGGAGGCCTTGACTCTTCCGTACAGTATCTGCAGGTACGTCAACCAGGGGCCATTATGCAATCTTAGGCCCACTAGAAAACGCTCACATGCCAAACCGGCAGTTATTCACGAAGGTCTCCGTATGCGACCCTGGAGCGTGTCGCCTCTCCATCGCGGAGTCTTTCCGCCCTCATACACCTAGGCATGGCTTCTCATAGCGCGCTTCAGCTACCTGCGGCCGTTTCCGCGGGAGCTTCACCTCGGGTTTGGAGGAGAGTTCAAGTTCCCAACCATCATTAGTCTAGGTCTAGCACTTATCACGTTTACAATTGGCTTACTTACGGATCTGACCCCCGGTAACCGCTCTCTTCCTTAAATCAGTGCCTCCAGAGGGGTGACGCCATCTGTGGCCACTTTATTCCCGGAGGTACGGCCATAGGCGTCAACATTTCGGCCATTAACATGTCGAGGTGTGCGGAAAAAAGACCGAACACTTTCTGGTGTGTTGTCGTGTAAGTGTGTTCGGACTTATTTCCGCACACCTCGCATGTCCAAGGAGCTCTACGGCGACGACGCCGAGTTCTTTCGCCCTGAGCGGTTCCTCGAGGTTAGGTAGCCGAGAGCAGCGTGAGGAGATGTACCGAAACGTCAACTCGATCTTTGGCTTGGGGGGGTGGATGTGTGCCGGGGCAAAACATCGCTTGGGTGGAGCTTTACAAGTTCTTTTTCGAGCTGTTCAGGCACTTTGACATTGAGATTGCCGATCCCATAAAGCCCACGAAGACAGGGTCACAGCATATTTGGCTGGACCAAGACTTTCTTGTTCGGTTTAGGGAGTTCGAGGACGGACTACTAGCTACCTCTCTACCTCTAGGTACTTTCCAGTTTCACCAGAAAACAAGACATCGAACCTCCACGCTCTCCCTCCACTCCCCCTCTTTAGCATCTGGATCCTCCACGGCGCAGTGCGGTGCCCTCCTCGCCATCTCCGGGGAATTGTCGCTATCAAAGCACTTGATCAGCACCACCTCATCCGGTTGCTGTTGGTACTTGAAGTACCACCTGTGTTCCGGTTTGGGCTTAACCGTCCAAGACTCCCTGCGCTGTCCGCTTTGGAGGATGATAGATCCCGGAACGAGGTCGACGTCGGAGACGGTGCGGGCGTCACAGAGGGCTAGGGGGTCTTTGTGGACGGGCTTGATGGGCCGCCAGATCTGTTATGTGTTAGGACTGGACGTATATCAACAGGGTCGCTTTATCAACCAGTGACTGACGTATCTCCGGTGTGCAACACTGAACTTCCCTCCAAGTACTAGAGCCAAGGCTGTCTCTTGAGATAACCGGGCCCAAATTGAACCCATCTTATCCCTTCAAGCCTGGCCAAACACTAGTGCACGAAATAGATCGGAATGGGAAAATCAAAACCCACATTAACAATCCCCCATCTCCTCTGCATCAAACCCCCCACTTGGTCTGCATCAGGGACCTTCTTCCTCAGCACCATCTCCGCCCCGGCGTATGACTGGTCCACGTGTGCGCGGTGCAGCGGGCCCCGGTGCCGCACGTTGTACACGGGAATCTCATGCCAGTCGGAAGGGCCGCGGCGGACTCGATGGTCAAAGGCGAAGACGCGGGATGCACCAGTGCTAGTTATTTTGTTTCCCCCGAAGAAAGGGTGGCTTGTTAGTCCGTGTGCTGTAAGTTGCTTATTGGTAAGGTCTCTCGAAGCGGTGATAATCAAGGGTCTCGAGATGGAACAAACGGACGGGGGAGGGGGTACGTAACGGTGAGATAGGGTCAGGGTAAGCAACTAAGCTGTACAGGCGTCACAGATCTTAAAAAGTCTAGAACGACCGTTGAGATTGTCCTTGGGTTATTTTTGGGATAGGAAAGATGGGGAATGAACTGAGGAGTGGAGTTCGAAAGTGGAAGGGTTCATGTCCCTGCTGTCAAATTCTAGGGTGGCATTCTGGCCAGATGTGGACTAGATACCAGAGTCCCAGCCACCTGATTTAACAGGTCTTGGCAAATATGGGTTACCCCCAGAACCCCTATACCTTCTGAAGAGAGCGCTCGAGTTAGATACACACAGAATCAACCAATTACCAGTAAATTTAATAATTAATAGTTTGATATGCATCCTATCAATATAACGATTAGCACGTACGAATAGTAAATAATAACCAGATTGCGATATTCCTCTCAAAGCCTACCGAGACGGAAAAAAACGTCGCTTACTTTAAAGACGGCGATGATTAGTTGCGATAGGAACCAATATTCTAATCGAAGTATATCCTTAATACCTTTAAGAATTAGTTTTAAAGAAAGATTAAGAAGCTATCCGCCCCAAAATAACTTTATCCTAATTATTACCTTATAATAAAGGAGGTTAAAACCCGTATTAATAATACTGAAGTGAAATTCATATGTTTCGATAGCGGTATTAATTCTTAAACTATTGTCCGCTAAGACGAGATTAGCTATAAAGAATCTATTAAATACTACGACTGAAACGAAATTATAATCGATACTTTTATTACAGATGACGACTTTATTAATAAATAATTTTATAAATTAGAAGTCAACCTCTATCCTAATAATAAAAAGGATTAGAAGGAATTTGTAGTTAATAATAAAGCTCTACGTACTTAAATGAAATTATTTATTATAGGGCTAGAGCCCAGGGGTTAAGCTTGGCTATTACCAAGCCATATCCCGCCTTATCAATAGGGTACCTACCTTATTAATAGGGATACGAACCTTCTAATTAGCTAAACCCACAACTACTTAGCCTGTACGTACGTTACATAAAACCTTCTTTCAATTATACTCTTCTAATATAATTTGTCCTCTTACTTCTTCTATTAAATATAACATTTCAACCTTATACGACTGCTCACTATGCAATACTCTCGCAGACCCATTACATTGTTAATTAACTACGGATTATAAAATAGAATTATAAGGGAGGAATGTAATACTGACGAATAGTATTGAAATTTTAAGTAAATAATAAATTATAAAGCGGTCGACAACTAAATTAAAGTAAAAGAAATATACTATAAAACCGTCGCTATCCTTACAAAAGATCCTACGAATTAGATTAATTAATTATAAATTTAATCTACTACTATAAATAACGGTTAAAATAAAGAAATTGGAGAAATCTTTATTACTAATTTATAATATTCTAATTTTATTAACACAGTTAAAATCGTCTACCCGGGGTAGTAATAGTATTCAAAAATTCAATAAAGAAATAGCCTCCAATACCCTTAAGTATATAGAAGTCTATAGGGATTTTAAGCAATATAATATTAATAGCGCTCGTCGCAGGGTCGCTGCTGGAAGAGGAGGAGTTTATTACGGTACTTTTAGCGCTAGCGAAATTAATATTAAATACAATAATTAGAAATATAATAGCGAAAGCTATAATATTAAAGATAAAGATATTTATTACGATAGTAAGAATAAAAAGTTAAGGGGTTTTAATACTAGGAAAAGAAAGTTCCTATTAGATAAATCCGAAATTTAACTACGTAAGAGGGATAATACTATAATATATAAAATATACGAGAGAAATTATTACTTCCTTAAAAATTATTAGTACGTTAACTTAAATGCGAAGCCTTTATACTTTAGGCTATATTTTTCCGTTAAATGCGTTATTAAAACTAACCTCGCGAGAAATCCAAAGTTCGCTAAACTAGTAATTAAACTTTCTAAGAAGGAAGAGAAAGTCGAGAAGGAAGAATTAGCGTAATTATTAAATCGGATATACAAAGTAACTTTCTAAATTAGCGGGGTATTTAAAATTAGAAACGAAATTTACTTTTTTAAGAATTTAATGATATTCGATTTAAGTAGTTCGCTTTACATATTTAATAAAACTATTCGTTTCCTTTACTTTCGTTATATTAATCCGGATAATTTTTTATAAATTAGTAATATTTAAATAGAAATTAAAAGGTTTGGGAAAGTTGATATTATTATTAAAGGTAAAAATAGTCCCTTAAAGCTACAGTTAAAAGAAGTCGCTTTTTGCCCTAATTTTACTATTAACTTCGTTTCCTATTTCTAATTGCGAAAGTAGGATTTCTATTAAGACTATTGACTATTAAATAATTACTTAAAGAAGGCTAACGGTTTATTCTTTTACTATTTAAGTACTATTTATAATTAAATAATTATTGAAATTATCCCTCTTTTATTTACTAGATCGTCGTTTATAGCGCGCCGTTATTAAATTAATTTATATATACGAAGACCTTCGAAAAGATTAATAGAAATATAATATTAGTAATTTAATTACCCAAATCCCTAAATATTCAATTATTTATAGACTATTAATAGAATACGATTATATAGTATACTTTTAATTAAATATAATATATATAGGATAATAAAAATAAAACGATAAGTTAGTTGCGTTTCGAAAGACCGAAGTTACAGCCTAAGAGAAAAATTCGCCGTCGATTTCTTCAATTTTAAATTAAAACTTAAAGGATTATACTACCTTCTTCTAATTACTTATCTATAATCAAAATTAATTTAAGATTATTACTTATCGAACCGAGAAGTTATTACAATAGTTAATACTTTAGCTAACTATATTTAGATATTTAAATACCGATATAATATTAATATTAAAATTATCGCATATAATAACGAATTTATAAATAACGAAATTAAGGATAGATTCGCCCGGTATAATATAATTTTAAACCTTCTACTACTAATATTTAAATATAGAATAGAGGAGCAGAACGTTTAAGGGGTATAATTAAAGAGAGATACCGTATAATATTATTAAATTCGAAAATATTAGAAGATTTATAGCTAGGGATTATTTGCGCGGCCGTTTACTTTATTAATTATTCCCCTCGTTACTTATATAATTGGAAATTTCCCTTCGAATGATTTTATATTTATATTGCGAACTAATATAGTTAGCAAGAATTACGTAAATTAAATTTAAACTATTTTTGAATTTATAGGTATAAGGTATTTACTATAATAAGCGCCGCTTAAAGGAAGAAGTAAAGATTTTAAAAGTATAACCTAAAGGTTTAGATCGGATATTTTATCGGTTATTTAGCGACTTCTATTTATCGTATATGGAATTTTTATATAAATTGGATTATTTAAATCAGAAATATAATATTCGACGAGGATATTATTTATTATTTAGACGTTAAGAACTTTAAGATGATTTTAAAATTATTAGCGAAGAATTTACTAATTTACTTAATAGGATAAACGAGCCCGCTAGTTAACTTTCGGAGGTATCTAAATTATCCTATATTAAAAGTTATACGCTATTGAACGACGCTAACGACGGTAATATTAAACTTCTCCCGTCGAATTTCCTTAATTAAAATTAGGAGGATTATTAAGAGAATTGAGAAATCTCCTAAAATAAGAGTAATTAATTATAGGAGGTGCTAATTTAATAGCCTATTTATAATAAAATATCTATCGAATATATTATAGGTTTATACCCGTCGCTTCCATTTACCCCGCTAACCATATTCTATATTAATTATTCTATTAACCGAACTATGGACTAGTATTCTTATTATTAAAAACTATAGGAAGCCGTTTTCAACATTAGTAGATTAACCTAACTAATAGTTAAAATAAACAAGAAAATAATTACTAAAGCGGAAATCAAAAGGTTAATTATAAAATATAATCTTTTTAGTAGGCTATACTAACGTAATTTCTCCCTAGTACCTAAGAAGTACTACGATTTTAATAATTATATATTTGGTCAATAATTTAAGGAAGTAAAGAAAATTTACTTTAAAAATTATGAAAATATAAAGATATAGATTGAAATCAATAAAAACATCCCCTATTCTAAACGTAAACAAATCCTCAATTATATATAGGTTTATATTTATAAATTCAATAAGAACGGGATATTTAATAAAGTAAAGATAAAATTCGTCGTAAGGGGTAACCAATAGAAGAAAATAGGAGTAAATACATACGTATCTACCCTAACTAATTGATTATTTCGTATTATTATCGCTCTCGCTACCCGTCTTAATTTTAAATTTATTTAATACAACGTAATTAACGCTTTCGTAAATACTTACCTTAATAAGGAGATTTATATACGTATACTACTAAGGTATTGAATACCCGGGAAAGTTTTTAAATTTATTAAGGCCCTATATAGTCTCCGATAAACTCCCTTATTATAGTAAGGAAAATTAAGCGGGGTATTTAAATCGATAGAATTTAAAATAATCTCTAAAAACCCGTATATTATAAAAAGAAATAGTATTCTTATATTATATTACGTCGATAATATCGTTTTTACATTCAATAAAAGTAAAATAGAGGAAATTAAAAAGTATACAATAGAATTATAATTATAATATTACTTAATAGGAGGAGATGAATTCCAATAGTTTTTAAGTACTAAAATTATATGTAATTGAAATTAAGGGAAAATCTAATTATTTTAAAAGGTATATATTAATAAAATTATTAAACTATTTAAATTTAACTACTACCTAACTTTAATACTTATAAAATATAAAGAATTAGTTCTTGTTTGCTGCGGTGCCCTGACTGGCCTATAATGATAGCACCAGTACAAGGTTGCTACAGTGAACTATGCACTTGTAGCAGAGCGGAGCGGAAGCGGTAGGAAGTACGACAGCAATGCTGAAGGAAGCAGCGTAGTTGCAAGTACAATAAAAGGATGTTGTAAAAGAGGTCTTAGAGAGGACTCTGCTCTCAAGACAGAAGATTACAGTGGACTCTGCACTGTGAGAAAAGACTATATTGTATTGCTTGACTTGTGCTTGCTTGCTTGCTTAAGGAGTGACGAACTGAAGGAGAGGAGAGGTCTCTATATACATGGACACTAAGCATCTAGAAGCTTCTGTTGAATCCTGTGATGACAAATCAGTCTGGAAGAAATGCTAGCTAAGTTATAAGACTCTAGAATACAGTGGCAAAACCTCTTGTATTCTAGTACATTCTGTGGGGACTGAGTCAACTGATTCCGTAGAAGGAATAGTTCAACTAGCCTTCTATACTACAAGGTAGTACAAGGCAGTTACAAGGCACAGTACTAGCCACACGTTAACAGTTCTATATAAAGATATTATTAATTACGTAAAGATACGAGCGTACTAAATTAATATAGGTTCTTTATTATACGTAGTAGTTAATATTTAATTAAATATTACGTTCTCATTCAATAAATTAACTAAATATAATTATAATCCTAATTCTATTTATTTCACGGCGAACGAGAAGGTTATACAATATTTAGAGATAATAAAAATATAAGTACTCTACTTTAGCGGGAATAATAAATTCGAAATTGCCTCTAATATTTCGTTTACTAATAATAAGAATGATTATAAAAGTTCTTAACAATTTACAATTAAACTATATAGCGGTTTAATTTATTAGGGAGTAACTAAATAGATTGCGGTTACTACGTTAATAATAGAAGTAGAACTATACGTAATTAAAAAAGTAACTAAAAAAACCCTCTTTATAAACCGATTCATATTAATATTAAGGGTAAAGTTACTAGAGAATCCTATTCCTATTCTATATTATAATAATTAATAAATAATTAAGGTACTTATAGAAGAGATTCCTACCTTTAGTATAAAGATAAGGTACGTAAATATTTATAGATATTAATTAAGGGGAGAGATTTTTGAGAAAAACACGTTTAACATTAAGTATTTAGAAATAAAGTCAATGCTAGTAAATAGATTGATAAAGGTACTAAGAATTCTAGAGTATAGGAGATTTAGGGATTTGTTAAGTATAGTTGAGGTATTACTACGAGAAAGTAGCGGAGGAGGAAATAATCCAGTACCAGGAGAAGTAGATTTCGATGATTTAAATAAAATATTAGGATTGGAGATATAAAACGACGAGAGCAATGTATAAATAGCTTCACTTTTAACCTTAAAGAGGAAAAAGAGGTTTGCAAGTGAGGGGGTGTATTAGATTTTAGGGTAGTATTCTAGCTACATGTAGACTAGATGCTAGAGTCCTAGCTCCTTAATTTAATAGGTCTTGGCAAATATAGGTTACTCCCAAAACCTCTATACCTTCTAAAGAGAGCGTTCGAATTAGATATACACAGAATCAATCAATCACCAGTAAATCTGATACCTGCATGATGCCCCTGGTCGCCGTTGAGTTCCTGGCTGGGTTGGGTGTACAAATGCAGATTGGATTGCATGCCATTCAGATGTGTGCTCCATATCGGCTAGCGATCCCGGCATCCGGGAAGGTTCAATCCCTTGCGAGGCCCTTGCTTGATAGCTGAACATCATGGGGTTTGTATGTAGCGCAGTGGTCATGTGAGTGAAAGATAACATCTAGGAAAACCCGCTCTAAACCATTTAGGCACTGCCAGGCTAGGTAACAAGTGAGGCCAAGCTTGCACTTACACTCCCTTCAACAACCCCTCGCACTCGGCAAGATATTTCTTTTGGATCTTCTCTTCGTCCGCGAACGCTTCTTCTTGTGTCTCGGCGAACCCGCTAACATGCTGCAGGTACTGGAACCCGTTTTGATCGAGAGTGAAACTCTCCTCGTCGCCCGTCACGTCGGTAACGGTGGTCGTAACGGGCAACATGGGTCGTTTGTTGGTGACTTGGTCCCTAGAAGTGGTGGAGGACAAGGGTGATGATGATCGTCAGCGTTTAACATGGAAGGTGGATGGTCTAGACTTGGGCTGGGTAGGGGTTCATGACGTGGTTGTCATGAAGTAGGTAGAAAAGGGGAGATAGGCTCGTGGGTTTGGTTGTGGAGTTCATCAACGCGTGTGTGCCTTTTCAACGCTGCTCCTGAGTGATGACCCCCTTTTTCCAATTGTTGAAAGGACACTAAATAGTGTGTGATAAGACATAAGAAACGGGTCTCCATACTTTCCGACGTAGACTGGCATTGGAGCACCTCCGTCTCCTGGATCATTGTAGTAGTTGATCGTGGTTATAAGATCATGGCGTGCTGCCTTTTCGATCTCCATGTTGTATTCTCGTTGGTTTGGCTGGTGAACTGTCGATTCTGTCTGACTTCCTGGAGTACCTATTGAAACGATGCTGAACTGAGATATAAGATGCTCAGAGTGGCAAAAATGTTTCTTCTGTTCAGGTTTGGGCCGGCTATGTTGAACCGAGCTTGGTTGTACTAATCTCTTCCGAGTCCGAATCACTCGGCCTATGACCGAGCTTGGGAGAGCCCCGCACGAGAGATCCTTCATGATAGGCTGTTTGGACTATTGAGTGAAGTCGGTATGTATGTGGGCGTGTTTGGTTCAACCAACAAAACAAAAGTTTGTATAGGAAAATTATCCCTATTAGCCAACAGACTGTAAATATCAATATTAATCCGGCGTCGGACCCCCTTTACCCCCTATAACCCCCTTATAACCCCCCTATAAGTTGAATGCAGTAGGCTCTTGGCCGTACTTCCCCTATATATAGCTTGCATATGCTTGTATAAGGCCTTATCAACTTCCTAATCTGGTATAGTAATAATTTATTCTATTAATTTCTATTTTAATGAGTTAGGGTATAAAGATAGAGTATTTTGTTAATTAATAGGGGTATTGAATTAGGTTAGGCTAAGTATTAGGTTAGAAATTAATACCTTGCAGAAACTCCTATCGAATTTCGTTTTTTATTATAAATATTTAATAAAACGAAACACCCTAATATAGATCCTATTCGATAGCGTATCTTTACGTTCTTAATAGCTATACTTTTGGCTGTCGCCGCTGTTATTTAAACTATCCGCCTTTGAGGGAGCGACGAAATAATATATAGATAGGTCTATACTGATAAAAACGAAAGCGAGGCGGTTATTCGTAATACCTTCTACCTTAACTGTGAAATTAAATTATTTAATTTATACCGTATACAGTATTAACCCTTTATTTAATTAGTTATTTAAATATCCGAATAAACTATTATATATAATATAAAAATAATATTCTTTAAATAGAAATTTATAACCTTTTTATATATATATACTTACAATAAAACTTAGCGGGATATAGCTTATCGATTTAGTTATAATATTAAAACTATTAGCTGTAATTTCTATAAGATCTTTAATACTATAATCGTTTTATATTATTATATTATTAAATTTCCTCTTCTAAATACGGTATACGATTTAGAATACGTAGCGTTAGTATTATATCTTAAAGATTATTTAGGCGCGGTCGACAATACTTTAATTTATATACAAATATATAAATCCGAGGCTGAAATATAGCGGGGTCGAAAGGGCTATATATATTAGAACGTTATAATTGCCATTGGTTTAAACAGTCTTGTTACGTATATTCTACCGGAGGTAGAAAGATTAATATACAATTTTAGAATTATACGATTAATATTTAATATAAACAATTTTGAGGTTTTAAATAGTAAATTTTACATTAATAACGCAGAGTATTATATACGACGCAGTATTCTTATCCTATACCTAGCAATTCAATATTATTTTAATAAATAGAGGGAAGGTAGTAATCGATTAAAGATACGGAAGGAGTTATTTAATTTAAAGCATTCGAAGTATTATATAAAGATTGAAATTACAATTAGTATATTAAAGAGGAAATAGAAAATTATAAGGTCAATAGCGCCCGAATACGATATTAGAATTTAAATAAATATTATATTTACTATTATTACGCTTTATAATTAAATTAAACGTATTGATCCCAACGGTTTAGACATTAAAACCGATAATAAAAATAAAATAATTAACAATAATTACAGTTACATTCGAAATAATAATAACGAGGATAAAGTTATAATTAGTATAAAGATTAAATAAGATAAAAGGATGGTAGGGTTTAGGAATATATTCGCTTAGAGAATATAGGAGGATTATTATTATTACAAGCGGGTAGAGAAGGTCCGCCGGGTACAGCGTAAATAAATCAAGTAAATATAGCAAGTACAGTAACGATGATTTATTTATATTATAATTACTTTTCTATCTTTTATTTAAACGCCGATATAATAATATTATTCTATTCGTTAAATTAAATTAAATCGATTAATACTAATTATACATATTTTAATATTAAATTAAAAGAATAATTAATATATAAATATCGACCCTTTATATAGGATCAAAGTTTATATTCTATAGTCGCGGGATTATATCGTTATATTTACCCTACATTTATAATTTTATTACCCGCTAAAGCCTTAATTTTATTAAATTTTATTGCCTGCTAAAGCCTAAATTTCAATTTAGTACAATTCGAACTTTAGAATATTTCGTATTTAATATAATTAACCCCTATATTTCCTTATAATAATAATATTACGTTATAATAATATAATTATACTCTACAATATAATTTTTTAATTATAATACATACAAATACGAAAATAAGAGTAATAGAATCAAATTAACAAAAGTTATTAAATAATATAAAAAGATTACAATATTTCCTAACGAAGTAAAACTTAAACTTAATTTTAAGAAATAAGTACCAGCGCATCCTCGAAATTAAGTATTATGTTAAATAATTATTTTACTAATAATATCTTCGCTTTAAATATATTAACGAACGCTACCATATATATTAGATCTTTCTTTAATTTGCTAATCAATTACTACTTTTTATTCTTACGTATCCTCTTTAATAAAAGTACAATTAAAGTAATTAATATATAAAAAAAGTTAAAAGAGGTGAAACTAGAGGAAGTTATAATTATAATAATTTAACGACCGATAGTTAGGTAAGCGAAGATTCGAATCTTTGGTAGAGGGTTTTAAATTTAATATTAATAAAAGAAGCAAACCGATTTATATTAGCGGTATGGATTATTCTCTTTTTAATTAGCCAGCGGACTTCGACTTCCTCCTCTTCTTTAATATCATTATTTAAATCCTCTTTAATTTTATCACTACTATTAAGGGGTATATTATCGACTTTTAAATACCAGTTGCACCGCTTCTTCTTATTACTACGAAAATCGTTTTATAATACTTTTCACTTAATTACTACTATAAAATTCTTAATCCTTATATACGTTGTAAAACGGTTATAAATATTAATAATATATTTACTTATTACTTAATTAATAATAAAGAGTAATACCATTTTCTTACGGTTTTTTATAAGGGTCGTTTTTAATTAGTTCGCCTTAGGTCTATTGGCTAAGAAGGTTGCCTATATATCTTTATAAATATTAAAAAGATTAATCATTTTGTTAAACAATACCCCCATTTTATATATAAAGCTTAATTATAACCGATAATTAAGCTTTAATATATTTTAACAATTATATGCCCACGAGCGAATCTAATTTTAACTAGGGTATTTAGTACATATAGTTATAAGCGCCTTATCGAAAACTACTATTAATTTCTTCCCTTTAAAACTTTAAAAGGGCGCTTATTCCTTTTGAATATTCGTTAAGAAAGTAACAAACCACTTCGTTTAATTAATAAATTATTTCGGGGACCTAATTTTTTTAAAAGGTAAAAATTCATCGTCGGATAAAGCAAGCTTAATATTATACTCATCCTTAATAGTAACGGCGGTAGAAATAATAGCAATGAAAATAATAATAGAGGAGGGATTAATTTAAATAGAGCGGTTAATAAGGGTAAATTAAAATTAAAGAATTATAACCTTTAATTAAAGAGATAATATTAGAGTTACAAAATAATTTACTCCCAGTTGCCCGGGTGGCCAGTTTAGGCGAATAAGTAGTATTTAATTAATTCTAATACTAATTCGCCGTAGAATAATCGGAATTAGCTAGGACCGGTTAATATATAGTATTGGAGTTGGGCTATTAATCAATTAGTTAGAAGGGTAGATTAAGGAAGTTAGGTAAAAGGAGGAAAGTATAGTGGAAGCGCTAGTTATACGTCCATAATATTATATTTTTAAATATTAGGGTAATTAGACAGTATAAAACCAAATTCTTTCAATTCGGGATAAATCTTATAATTTATCACGGGGCGAGAGGGCGCCGTTAGGGGTAGGGTAAGATGTACGTTATTATACGAAGGAGAGAAAGGCAAGTATACGTGGAGGACTAGCTATATAGGCGAGAGCCCAACAGGCTAGTCCGTGCGCACGCACGTAAGGCTACACGTAACTAGAGTATATAACTAATATATAAATATATAGCTCTGGACTATAGTACCAGCTCTGGCATAGCATATATATAGTCAATGCAGTACAACCACATTATAGGCTAGCCCTATAATACTATCCCCTCTCAAAAGAAGCTCGTAGAACTAAAAAAAAAATCTATATATACGCATAATAATAAACTCATCCCTTTATATTATTCTATTATAATCTACAAACTACGTTGGAAGTAACTTTCCTAACCAAATATCTATCAAACGTCGTACAACCCTACTAAATACCAAATACAACTTATCCTCCACTTCCTTACTAACCGTAATATTAGCCCTAACTATCGTAACCGAATCTAGGAGCGGCCCCGTTATATCGATAACCAAAGCAGTTTCTTATTAGAAGCGGGCAGAACATCAACGCGGAGGCTCAGGAGCGGGAACGGGAGCGGGAACGTCGAATACGAAGCGGTATAAAAGGTTCTAGACCTCTAAAGGGACCAGCTTATCCAAATTCTCACAATAAAACTACTACAAGCAATACTCACAATCTATAACATTACTAACGGGCTCCCAAATCAGGTTCCCAATCTTCCACTTAACGTAGTAATACCAATATAAATTACCGCCCAACTAAACGCAATCAATAAACTTCTTAAAAGCCCATTCCTCGTATTTCTCCTAATCATCCATTCGAATCATAACGCAACCATCATTTACCCGAACATCTAATAACGTACTCTATCCTAGCAATCCCTTACCAAACCATAACTACACTATAGAAATATAAAAGACTAATAAACACTTTATATTAATTAATAGAGCGAAATAAACAATATAAAACTCAACTCGAATAACCTTGAACAATCCTTCCCAACGAAGTAAAAACTTTATATAAGGGCGACTATTAACGAAATTAATCGTATTCAACAAAACCATATCGCCAACGCAATACTTAAAGGAATCAACGCGTTTCTTATTAACGTTATCCTCGTACCGTTCCTAAATATAACGAATTTACTAGACTACAAAATCCCAAATCTTCTAAAAACAATCCGCTAACTCTAAAACCTTATAATATTCTTTCAACTAGGCTGGTAATAAATCGGGGGGAGAGGGGGGGGGTAACGTACGAAGCTCGGTACCCATCCATAAATAATAACCGTAATTAATAAAAAAGGGGGAAATACCCGTCGACGATAATACAATATTATTACTAACGAATTCTATAATTACTAAC